ATATATATATATATATATATAATATATATATATGATTTCTAAAAAAGTAATGTTGTAAGCAGGGTTTAAAAAAAATTAAAGCGTTCACTCGGAGCAGAATCGGTATTTTAACGTTTCTGCTAATGCGTTCCTCTGTATTATTGCCGTTCTGAAACCGGTTTTTCTTTACGCTGGTATCTTGCGTTTAGTCATCATATCCAATACAGCATCATCTTTTCTAACAAGATATTGGCCAAATGTATTAAACGAAAAAGTGTCAACGCTTTAAAGACATTAAAGTATTTTTTCAAGATATTTAAAAATGTTTGCTAAATGGTTAAGAAAAAATGCTACTCGTATAAAATCAAAGCCTGAAATGAATTCAAAGCCTCTAAAGTTATTAGTATTTAGGCTATAAAACGTCAAGCTAAAACAAATTAATTTAAAAGCGAAACTGCATTGTTTTCCCTTCTAAGAGAGGAAACTGTTACTCCGTAATTTATGGTTATACAGCTAGAAGCAAAACATGCTTGAAGCGGTTCGTGACATATCCTGGGAGAAACTCTAATGCTGTGTGCACACCAAACGCTCATTGCATTATCGCTCTAGATATCGCTTGTGGGATGTTTTTCGTGTCATTTGCGCAAATAAAATCATCGTGTAATGCTTTTCTCCATTTTCTATTACAACCGGACATGTCAACAAGTTCTTCGTCATGCAAATTTTCCGCTCAATTTAAATTTGATTTCGTTTCTATTTATGTTCCTGTCAAAATTTCATTAGTTTCCGGTTTTTGCTTTCATTCCTTGAACCGGTTCAGAGCCCTGCTTATAAGTTTTGGGTCTGTACTAATTTTCTCTGTTTTTTATAATAAAACTATATTTATATGAATATTTTTATTCATCAAGGATGCATTAAATTGATCAAAAGTGACAGTAAAGACATTTATAATGTTATAAAAGATTTCTATTTCAAATAAATGCGGTTCTTTTGAACTTTCTATAAATCTGTGAATCCTGAAAAATAAAATATATGACAGTTTCCACAAAAATATTGTGCAGCACGACTGTGTTCAACACTGATAATAATCAGAAATGTTTCTGGAGCAGCAGATCAGCATATTATACTGATTTCTGAAGATCATGTGACACTGAAGACTGCAGTAATGATGCTGAAAATACAGCTGCGCATCACAGAAATACATTACAGCTTAACAGATATTCACAGACACTTTTTTTTTAATTGTAATAATATTTCACTGTTTTTACAGTATTTGGTGAGCAGAGGAGACTTCTTTCAAAAACAAAAAAAAATCTTATTTATTCCAAACTTTTGAACAGTAGCGTTTGTGTGTGTGTGTGTGTATATATATATATATATATATATATACACACATTTACATATATATTAAAATACTAATAATAATCAACATAATCATAACAAAAACAACATCAATAATCAAAATAATAAGAATAATAAAGTAAAGCTGTTAATCTGAGTAGAATCGGTCACCTGTGTTGTTGTCGTAGAATCGGATGTGTCGGTCCTCCTGTGCTGTGATGGTGATGGGCAGCGTCGGGTGACTGAGCACTTTATTAATCTGACACGGCGCATCTGAACATCAAACACATCAACGTCAGAGAGCATCATGGGACTTTACCATTCATTGATGATTAGACTATTATGATTCCATTTATTGAGTTTTCTGGATAGGCTTTTTATGTCAAGTATCTATAAACTAAAAGGGATGTTGACACTGTGTGACAAGACAAGTTTCAGTTTACAGAGTCAAGAAACGTTTCTGTTTTCACCGAATCCTGTGGCTAAAATCTCAGAAAGTGCCTGTGAAGTACCGGGTATTCCGGCGGCTTGCGACTCGAGCTCCAGCACCAGCTGTCGGGTCTCCATGTTGAAGATGCCCAACCTGCCGTTAGTGAAGGCCGTGACCATGTGAGCCGGATCACTGCAGACCAGATCCACCGACGACGGGACGCCCAGCTCTGAAGCGCACAGAAAACAACAGAAGGAGCTCAATCATGTGTTTGTGCTTTTCACAGCTGAAATCATCACGAACCACCGACAAAACCAACCAAACAATTCATAAACTCAACTCAACTAAAGCAAAAATTTTTTTTAAACTGATGATTTTTAAACTGGTCTTTTTTTTTTGTAAGAATATTATTTTGGGGTTTGTTCATCAAAAAACTCAAAATCTAAAATTCATCAAAAAAACAACAACAACAAAAAGATAATTAATTCATTTATTAAATAAATAAATAAATATATAAAAAATGTTGGGTAAAATATTTGTAACTAGTAAAATATTAATAACTAACAGAGTTAAAAATGCAAAAAAGCATGCACAGCTCCTAAAAAAACATGCCTGTAGGTGTTCGTCCCCCAAAAAAAAATTATAAAAAAGGTCAGTAAAACATTATTAATGTTTCAATTAATTAATTGAATTGTTTGCAGCTGTAGTGCGCCAACTTTTAAAAAAGATCACTCTTTATTTTATTTTTTAATGCTAAAAAAAAAAAATATATATATATATATTTTTTTTGTAAATTATGTGTTGTAAATTATACTTAAATTTTTTAAGACTGTCATTTTGGGGTCCATTTTAAAGGGGACCTATTATGCAAAATTAATGTGAATAATTACTGTATTAATAAGGAACCAGAGCTATGTTGTTATTTTTATTCTTAACCCGAAAACGCTCACCCTGTGTATAATTCATAAACGCACCTTTATTGCTTCTTGTCTCTGTGAATACAGTCAGAGACAATGGCATAACAGGTGCTGAAATCATCTAACCATCAATATATTAAAATATTGCTAAAATATTAAATAAAATATTTTTGGTAAACTGCTGTGTGGTCTCATTTTTTAATTCTTTAAGACTGTTAAATTGGGGTCCATTTCAAAGCTAAAATAAAAAATAAAACACATTTTTGTAAACTGATGTGTGGTAAACAAACAAAAGCAACTGATGTGTGTTTGGGTGCAGTACCTTTGTCCTGGTTGAAGACGGCGATGGCGGGCGTGATATCCGCTGCGCTCCAGAGCCTCACCGTCCCGTCTGCGGAGCACGACAGCAGTCTCTGATGAGCCGAGCTGTACACCAAACCCCAGACTGCATCTGTGTGTCCAGACAGCGCCCCCCGCAGCACCGACGGCTCTACAGCAAACACAGACACACTCGATCACACACACACTCTCACTGAGACTCACTGGCGTCTGCAGGGGACAGGGACGCACCGTACGAGTCATACGGGTCGATGTTGGGGCTCGGTGTGTTCCAGCACTGAATGCTCGCGTCCAAACCGCCGCTGAAACACTGCTCACCGCTGGAGCTCATCACCACACACAGAACCGGACCCCTGAGACCAGACATACACCACATCAGACAGCTGCTGGTTTATCCTGGTAATAAGATCTAGACCTGATTCACACGCACCTGTGAGCCCTGAAGGTGTAGATGGGCTCCACATCCAGAGCGGCGCACCTGAAACAACAACACCACGTTACACTGACCGACACCAGCAAAACACAGGGCTATTATCTATTATCTGTATCTATCTGTATTTCTGTATTTATGTTCTACTGTAGTGTTATCTGTATGCACCAAGGGTCTGAGAGTAACGCAATTTCAATTCTCTGTGTGTATGTGCTGTACATGTGGAAGAATTGACAATAAAGCAGACTTGACTTCACAACTACGACATTTCTGAAATAAAGATGAAAGGAAAAAGTCTCTATTTTTCATTTAGTTTAAGTTGAGGCACCACAATTACTAACTTAATAATGGAACTGAAATAAAAACAAATGAAACATATATAGTACTATTAGAATAAATACATAAATTGAAATATTAATATAAAAAAATGTATATAAAAAAAAAAAAATGGAAAAAGCTGAATTGAAAACGCTAAATTCAAGCACTAAAAGTTCTAACTGGAAATAAAATAAATAAAAACTAATGAAATAAAAACAAACTAAACTGGAATAGTAATATTTAAAAAAACTGAAATAACAATAAACTAAACCTGAATATTAATATATAAAAAACGAATAAAAAAAAAAACACTGATAAAAAGCTAAAAAAAAAATAAAAATAAAATGATAAAAAAGAACCTAAATAGTCATATAAAAAAAAAACTGAAGTAAAAATAGTAATATTTAAACTGAATTTGAACTAAATTAAACCGAAATAGTAATAATAAAAAAATAAAACACTGAAATAAAATAAATTAAACCTAAATAGTAATATAAAAAAACTAATGAAAATCTGAAATAAAACTGAAATAAAAACAAATTACACCTAAACTGTAGTATACAAAAAAGAAATAAAAAACAAATTAAACATAAATGTAAAAAAAACAAACAAACAAAAACTAATAAAACAAACTAAAATAAAACCGAAATAAAACAAATTAAACCTAAATTGTAATTTATAAAAAAAAACTATTAAAAACCTGAAATAAAACTTTTGGGGGAAAAAAAAAAAAAAAAAAAATAATAAAATAAAAAAAAATTTATAAAAAAAAAAAAAAATCCCCGGGGGGGGGTTGCAATTCATTTTTTTCCTCAAATTATTCCAAGCTGTAAGGTAAAGTAAAATATTACTTGTGTGATTACGTAGAATTGCATGATTGCATGATCCTGTTTTGGTTTATTTTGGGAATATCTTATTTAATACTACAGCTGCAAACATAAATTCACTTAATTAAAATATTAATAATGTTTTGCTTAAATAGTTTTGGGCGAGCACCACGGTTATTATAGTTAACTAAAACCATAAAAAATACTTGAAAATAAAATAAACATGAAATAAAAGATCATCTAAACGGCTTCATTATGATTAATTATAAACATGATCAATCTGGTAAAAGTTTTACATTTTTAACAAACTAACAATCATCCTATAAACCCATTATAATAAACGTTTCATCTTAGTTTTGTCTTTACTTATGAGAAATAAAATAAAAACAAAATAGCAAGAGAACTAAAATTAAGAAAATGATAATATTTTATTTTTACATTTCCGTTTTCATTTTTACTAATTTTGTTGTTAGTTTTTTGTTTTTATATTTTATATAATATATATTTTTAAATATATAGTTTTTACGTTTTAAGTACTTCAACAAAAATAAGAGATCTTGCCTTTGCAACAAGCTGAAATAAGTTTACTTTTTAAATTAAATCTTTAACTAAATTTATGTATTTATTTAAACTTTTAAATTAAAATGAAAGTGGAAATTATAAAAATAAAAACTGATATGCATCATGATATTTACATATATTATAATATACAATATGTGTCCCTGCCACACACATGAGATTTTTTCTTTATATTTTCTGATTTCATGTTAATTTTAGTTAAAGTTTTAGTAATTTTATTGTGTGTTTTAGTCATTTTTAGTAGTTTTTTTTATTTTAGTAAACGAAATGAGACCAGCATTTTTTTTTTTACTTCAGTTAACATTTATTTGATTTCAAGTAGTGTAAATGTTTTTTATAGTTTATAGACAAAGGTCATCAAAGGTCAACTCTGGGCATCTCTGGTCTAGGCTTTAACTGTACTTTCACGGTCTAGGAAGTCAGAATGAAATGACAAAGAAATGAAGCACTGGAATAAAAATCAGAGAGGAAAAATTAGAGTGAGCATTGATAAAGTAAGCAGCGATCGGTGATGTCTCATCTGAACACTACAGTGGAAGCAGGGTAGGGGCGGAGCCTGATTTATACCCACGCCCCTAATCACAAAGGGGGTGGAGCAAATAAGCCACACCCCTCTCAGAGCACCAGCATAAATGCAAAGAGAGCAACAGAAATGAGCAGCTGAAGAGCAAAATGAAGAAGGGGAAAATAAACGGTAGATGCAGCTGGATCCTAAAAGAAGGAGCGGATGACAAGACCATGAACGGATGAGTGACGGGGAGGACTGAAGAGAGCGGCTGGATTTTTGTCAAACTAGCTGATGATTATACAGATACATTAGATGAAACTAGTGATAAACCGATATATCAGGCCAAACAAACGGCCAATTCTGACATGATCAGCAACACCTGATAACTTTGCCAGAAATGGCCTTCAGACCAATTGGTTTCCATTTTTTTATATTTTAAAATAAATACATAAATGAGTGAATCTCACAAAAACAAGACATGTTCGAGTCAAATTTCATTAAAAAAATGATAAAATAAAATAAAAAATAAATGCATTAAAAATTTAATTAATAAATAAAAATATGAATATTATGATATTATAAAAAAGAGAGAGAATTTATTTTGCATAAAGATAAAGAAATTAAGGACCACACTGTAAAAAAGGGTGGTTGTAAATAAAACAAAAATACATTTATTCGAAAAACAATATTTCAGTCTTTTTGCTTCAAAATGCCACTTTTTAAATTTTATTTTTAAAATTTTTTTTTTAATTTCCGAGGAAAACTGCAATTTAAAAACGGAAAATAATGTGAAAATTGAAAAGTAATCTTGCACAATTTTTTTCTTCAGTGCATTAAGATTTTTTGTATTATTTTCATGACAATTACACATATTTAAACTCTCTTTAACGTAATGTAAAAAAATAAAATTTTGAACATCACGGTAGTATTTGTTGTTCTGCTTTTTTTATACATTCTCAATTAAATAAAACTTTACTTAATTAAACAATTACTAATAATTATAATTAATAATCATTAATATAATATAACATATTAGTATATAATTAATAATGCATTAGTACTAATAAATAATATACATTTTTTACAGTAATACTGTAAAAAGAATTGTATTAAAGTAACCAGTAAAGAGAATTTGGGGTTTAAAAAATGCAAAACAAATCTTAATAGTTTGAAATATATATGTGACCCTGGAGCACAAAACCAGTCATAAGGGTAAATTTTTTGAAATTTAGATTTATGCATCATCTGAAAGCTGAATAAATAATCTTTCCATTGATGTATATATTTGGAATGAAAATCTGGAATCTGAGGGTGCAAAAAAATCTAAATATTGAGAAAATCATCTTTAAAGTTGTTCAAATGAAGTTCTTAGCAATGCATATTACTAATCAAACATTAAGTTTTGATATATTTACGGTAGGAGATTTACTAAATATCTTCATGGAACATGATCTTTACTTAATATCCTAATGATTTTTGGCATAAAAGAGAAATGTATAATTGTGACTCATACAATGTATTGTTGGCTATTGCTACAAATATCCCCCAGCGACTCAACACTGCTTTTGTGCTGCAGGGTCACAAATATCCTTGAAATATGACCTGACCATGTTTGCGTGAGATTCACTGAATTTTCAGCCACACATGCATCATATCAGCCTTCAGTTTTCCAGATTTCAGTGGTTTAAAGCAGATATCGGTTGAGCACTAGAAGAAATAAGAGTAAAGAAAGAAAGAGGCGGCGGCGAGCGAGAGGTTCCTATCCCACTTACTCTTCACCCCTTTCTTGCCCTTGCGCTCCTTCTTGTACTGTTCCTTGAGTTTAGAGATCAGACCCTCATCCACGTCCCAGGACTCAGACGAGGGGCTCTGCTCTTGCTTTTCTACACGGAGGAGGGAGGAAGACACGTTACACGCCTGACTCTGATGCGATCAGAGCTTCACACGACTCGCACTCAACATGAACGACATGTAGATCAGGCCTAATCGCACAGAAACGTCACTTCAGCTTTTACAGCTGCTCGTTGCTGATTGTATTGCCATCTAAATCAGAATTCCAGCTGTTTTCTACCTCAATCCAGGAAAAAAACAGATGATAACACTGCTATACAGAACTACAATTCTGGTATATCATAAAATTATGCAAAACAAAGACTGTGAGCTTACAGGAAAAAAATCAAGTCTAATTGGGTAAGCAGTTAAAAAGGGCCATAATAATAGTGAAAAAAAAACCTAAAATGTATGTGCCAAGCATACTACATTTACATATTTATGTGCTTAATAAAAACACCCTGCAATTGTACTTTTGGTTTATTACACTGCTAAACTAACTAACTCTGTGCTTAATGCACTGTTGATGTCCAACTAAAGCTATACTGAAGGATATTTGATTGTGCTAAAGTGGAAATATTGCTGGAACACTTTAAATATCTTGCATTTAAAGATTGATATTATACAGAGATTATACAATACTTATTAATAGTGATATTAAAACACATTTTAGGCATAATATTAACAAAAATGTACTTTGCGCACAAGAAGTACTCCAAATAAAGTTTAATTATAATTTTATGTCAGTAAGTCTTAAGTGATATGTCAATAAATACATTAATGGATTTGAAGTATACGTAGTATGAAATAAATGTATTTTAAATAAATTATTACATTCGTTTTTTAAATTTTTTTACTAAGGGAATAATATACTGTATATATATATATTTTTTTAATTTTAGTTTATGTTAGTGTGAATGTACATAATTGTATATATTAATACAAGAAAAAAATAAATGTATATATAAAATGATGCAAAACTCTATAGGAATATGAAATTATATATATATATATATATAAATATATATACATTTTATTTTTTGTTATTATTTTGTTCAACTTGGTGTGAGTAGACAATTATATACAATAATGATAAAAAACGAACAAAAAAAAAACAAATAAATATATATATATATATATATAAGGCACTGGACCTTTTTAAATGCTTCCAATAAGCTAATAATAATTGTAAATAAATAAACTATATATGTTCACACACACACACACACACACGCTCACACACACGCTCACACACACACCCGCCCACACACACA